AAAAAGTCTACTAAAATACGAAATACCGGGCGATAGAAAACGAAGAACGCAGAAATGTTCAGAGTCCCGCTTTCATCTCTGGGGTACTTGTGCCGGAGCTATTAAATGCACCGCCGAGGTCCTCCTGTTATAAGGAGACTTGGATGGCTTCTGTCATTTTCATGTTTTTGATAAGAACTTACTTCGTTCAATTGAAGTCCACTAACACGTAAACAGGCAAGACCGAACACATATGCAGGGACATAGAAGCCGCTGCAAAGGACTTGCCAGAACTAACAAGACCTATACAACGGAGAGTCCCATATAGCTCTCGTAATTACCGTCACTGCAATCTCAGCTTAGTGTTTAAAATAAAGCCGCGATCGGCGGCTCCGAGGCAAAGCGCCTGCCAGCGAATACCCAGGTGGTGGCTTTGAATTCCGGCCCAAGTGCCCGCAATCTGACGGAGGATTACTGCGAAAGCGCAGATGATATTCTTATCATCCGAGTTCTCGCATCGCCAGCCTTGTGCCCGCTGCACAAATGATAACGTTAACGCTCCCACGCGCTTCACAGGTGCTTTAAGCCTTCCGAAAATTAACTCATTTCGGGCCTTTTGATGACGCTCAGAAAGTTTTAATTGGAGCCATACATTTATTTTCACTACTTACAAGTTAATTACTAAAGTTTATTTAGTAATTTACCTAATTGGTATTTTTTTTTGTATTGTTTTTTTGCAATCACTGACATCTGCCGTGGATGGCAGTATGTTCCCCAAAAGGGTTTGCTTTCCTCTCAACCACCCTATTAGTAGAAGATTTTGAAAGCCTTTACTGAAACACCCATTATATGACCATAGCAGCAGACAATTCGAGGTTGTTTCATTGACGGCCGTGAAAGGTCAGACCGCTTCGACAGTCCCTGAGCTCTACTGACCAAAGAGCTTTATGATGTATTCACACGACGGAGATTTCTTACACAGACAGGAGCAAGCGTCCCAGCGCATCGAGATCACGTGCGCCACATCACGGCTGCTTGCTATAGGGAGTATTCACTGGCGGCCATATCCGTGTGCGCTGCTGCTGAGCGCGTGCTGATGGCGAGCTTCCGCAGTCCCTTTGGAGCGTGCATTTAGCACCATCAAGGTTGCCGGTCTTAACAGGCTATTAATGTGAGCTCGTTCTGAGCATGCGCTCTAAACATCGCCCTCAAATATGGCGTCCAGGGAATGCCTCCTATAATCCGTTCATTGTTAAGGCCTGTTCACACATACAGAGGAGCGCGAAGTTAGCGCTACGTGAGCGCGCTCATGTGGCGCTTCCTAGCGCTTGACTTCGTTCTAATGTAGCGCGTGATTAGCGCTTTAGTAGCACCTTGTTAGCGCTCCAGAAGCGCCTAATTGTTAGCGCTCCAGTGGCGCCTTATTATAGTCGGATGCAACCTAAGAACAATCTTTTAGCTCCACCCACAAGCGCATTGCGCCCATGTGAAGTGCCTCCGCCGTCGAGAAAGTAGTTCGCTAGCAACGTTGCTTTTTCTTCCTCCAGGAAACGTGTCTTAAACTACTACAATATTTATTTAATTCATTCAGGACATTTAAATAAGTTAGAATACGTTTTTGTCAACGAAATAGCTGTTTAGTAAAGAAAGAAAGTCATGTCCAATGTACCGTCTTCCCAATTCATTTTCTGTCCAAGATACTGTCTGACATACCGCCTAACATACCTCTCAGCAGTGCTAAGCCTCGCGCCCGCTTCGAAATTTTTGTTGGCGATAGCGTCGCTGGATTCTCACGTTTTTGCGCAAAAACTTCTGCAAACGCAAGCCGATACCATTAAGATTTCGTGGCGTAACCTCGGGCACGTAAAACACGGTGCAAAAAAGCAGAATAATTGTCACGAGAAACTAGCGTCGCGTTGCTAAAACCAGCAGCCATGTTGAACTTCTTTTTTTTTTTTTTCAAAAGGATTGCGATTGGTACACGGAATCGCGACGTCATGAAAACGATTGGCTGGCGTTTCTCGGCGTAGGATTACATTTTCCTCTGAGAGGCATTTCCGGTTTTTTCTTAGCTTGCAACCAACTATAGCGCTTCAGTAGCGCCTTGATAGGGAGTTTTAGAATAGCGCACGCTAAAGCTTTGCGCACGCAAAGAATAGCGTCGTCGACACTGCGCATGCTCCGAACGCAAACCAGGTTTTGCGCTTTGCGTGCGCAATTTTAGCGCGCGCTATTTCTCGGAAATAGCGTGCGTACGCAAAGAGTCTTTGCGCTTCTCCAAGGAGGATTCGTGATGACAAGTTGGCTAAAGCCAAGACGAGCAGGGTTAAAAAAATGGCGGCTTGCAGGATTATGCTGGCGGCTGCTTTGGCGGCGTCGTGAGTGCAGGGTCGGCGGCATCCTCGCGACTGCGGTTTTCAATACGGGATGACATTGTACTCGGTTTGGCAACGATCACCGGCAACTTGATGCTTGCGACGCGCGAACATTTCTCGGCGAAGGTACGATGTGCGAAGCAACGTTGGTGCGAAGGTCAGTACACGAGACCTCTCTTGCCGAGGCGACGCAAGCGGACACGATCGGTCAACCGCTCGCGTCGCATTCTCATGTTTAAACAAATCTAAAATGCTACTCTGGACCAGGAAACTTTTTTTTTCTGAAGTAACAGCATTTCGTGTGTGAAATAAAAATTGTTACTGTATCTTGGTGGCGTCGCAAGCGCGAGATGCTTGGGCTTTTGCGTCGCGACGGAGAAACGCTATTCTAAAACTCTCTTGCGTCGCGTGCACAAGCGCTAAATTTAGCGCTAGCGTGCGCTAAAATTGCGTACGTTATTCTAAAACTCCCTGATAGCGCTTCAGCAGCGCCTTGTTAGCGCTTCTTGTACCGCGGTGCTGCGGATTAGCGCGTGCACTGCAGTTCCGGTTCCTGTGGTTGGGTGTGCATCAGCAGCACACTGACGGACATGAGGAACGCTGAAATATAAATGCGACAAAGGCTCTTGCATACGCAATTGGTGCATATGTGGGAGGACGGCTTAACGCCAAGAGCCTTCTGGGTGCGCGGAATCTTTCGCCACCGAGATACCGACGGGTACCCGGCGAACCTTGTTCCCGGGCTGAGGCACCGAGACACAGAGCTCTTTCGAAGGGGATTATTTCTTAACTGTGTGTCTTTGAAACCAGGGTCCCGCATACCGAATAGAAAGCGATGAGGCCGTACCCAATCATTTAGTCGCTCAGAGTCCATGACTCTGGGTCGTCTGCCCGACCGTTTGCTTGGAGAACGGCTCTTACTTCCTCTGCTTTCAATGCCAAATAAAAACAACAACGAAATCGCCGTGCACGCGCCCTTCCGCAGCAGCAGGCACGGCACGAGGAGTGTGAGATCGCTTACACTGCGCTGCTGAAGTGCTAACCCAGCGCCTACTGAAGCGCTTCTGAAACTGAGCGCCTACTGGAGCGCTTCTGGAGCGCTGACCGAGCGCTACGTCACGCGCAAGTAAGTGCCACACGAGCGCTGCTTGCAGCGCTCATGAAGCGCTAACTGAGCGCTCCGCTGTATGGGTGAACCGTCCTTTAAGCTAAACTACAGCCAATGCTGCAAGCACCAGCTAGCCGGCTCTCCTGGCTTTGAGACGGACTTTTTTAGGACGAGCGCTCATTTTCCCGAAGAACATTTCAAAGCTGCGACCTCATACTCTTTTGATTGCAGCATGGGCTGCAGTCTCAGCTTAAAGGGATGCTGAACCAAGCATTCCAGTGTCCATAATAAGTGGCGCACGTTTTTTCCACGAGCCAGTAGCCGCCGGTGTGCGCGAGCGTGCACGCAACGAAATTGACGTCATAGTCCCCTGCAGATTTGTGCCTATCTCAAATACTCTACTCAAGATATTGTATTTAAAATACCCTTTGAAGTATCTCGGTATCTTGCAAATACTTTTGATCAAGAGTATTTAATACTCTATCTTAATTACATTTCTGAGTATCTTGTACTCATTATCTCAAATACATTTTTGACATTCCGCCATTTTCCGAGTTTTCTGTATGAAGTGGCGTGGGCGTGGTACGAGCAAACGTGAACATCCTTCCCAGTAACGAAATCATGTTGCTAGCTCCGATTAGCTAAGGTGACTTCGATTGAGCTTGTGAAAACATGGCTTTTTTGCCGATAGTGACTCATATTTCAGCCCAGTGTCCGCACAACCAAGGTTTAGCCCTCGCCTTCCCAACGGCGCCTTTTCTTTCCTAGAGTTTCCCCCCAAAAATCCTCAAACAAAAGGGATGGTTTTACGCAAGTAAGGATAGCCACACTGAGGCGCAACGCAGACCGGAAAGCGACCTACGACAACAATGCAGACTTGAGCGTCAACATAATAACAAATAAAAAAATAATATAAAGTGGACACGCACAAAAAAAAATGTTTTGCTTTTTGTATAATTGACTTTGCTACGGCAAAGCGTCGAGGTTTTCTTTCGTTTATTTCTTTTTGTCTTCAGTCCATCACTTATTTCTTCCGCGAACAGTGTCTGTAAGCGAGCATTGATAACCAGTGGCCCATGAACAGTTTTATATTAAAATTAACATTAACTGCCCACTCAGTGCACCAAACAGTAATGGCATAAACGTCCACCTGAAAAAGGCTGACATCATCACATATTCATAGTTTGTATATGTATGTATGTATTTATTGATATATAAATAACGCAATTGTTAGCTTAGGGACTCACACCAGATGTCGCACCATCGACGATATCGTTTAAGTACAACAGCGGCCCGAAAACGGATCCTTGCGAAACGCCCGATGTCACGTCGACACATCCGGACTGACAGCCATTGAGCTCGACGCAATTGGAAACGCATCTCGGCCTTCTATATAATTAGCGGCAAGAGTAGCCAGCCGGTGCGCGCCCCTGCCGCCGACCCTCCGTCAGCCCATCCGAGCCCTGGGTGACATCCGCGAAGCGATCAAGAGCGAACCTGCGGGTCGTTTCCTTCTGGGCGCCCGAACACGTCGCGCTGTTGGCACGAAGCCAGGCGCTGCCTCGGGCGGCCACGGGCAGCAACAAAGAACACTGCCGGGGCTCAGCGAGGGCTGCGGGTCCAGGCTCCCAGCTCCCGTTTGCCGCCGCTCCCGTTTGCCGCCGCCAACGCTTCGAACCGTCCGGGACGCGCTATCGGATTGCAACGCGGCCAACGGGGCCTCGATACTCGGTGCGGTCCATTTGCGGACTGTTCTTCATCGGCGGGAATTGCGTGGGCCGCATTGTGTCGATAGCCGCGGTCAGAGCCTAGCCAACGTGTTCGCTGAGCGTCGGTGTTGTGGATGAAAGCTGCCAGTGTCCACGCGAGGCTCTAATCAACCGACCCGGTTTCTTTGTGTGCGCCCAGCGGGACACGTCGTCGGCGATGGGCTCTGGATGCTACGACTGGGGAAACCGGGTGCACTTCGTGGTCAAGCATCTCTACGGTGAGTCTTTTTTTATTCGAAAGCACTTCCGTATATGCTGTAAACGACTTGCTTTTCGCGGGCTCAATATTTTGCGATTTAGGTCAAAGTTGAAGTTTTGGAATAATGCGCGGGTTCTAATTTTCGCGACGCGGTGGGATCTCAATATAGATTCCAATATGTTGACATTTTACCCGGATGGTTCGCGGGACCTATTTTTCGCGAATTGTAGGCAATTCACGAAAATTCATCTGCATATGTTTGGTTATATCCTCCTCGGAGACCACGTACGGCCCGTGTTGTATATTTAATAACGTGGCTCTCGATTCTCGCGAATTATGATGTTACTGTGCCTCTAAATCTTATAAACAAAGAATACTACATGTACACGGGACGAGACATAGTGGGAGGATTTCTGGAGCACAAACGAGCACGTACCACGTGACACTAAGCGTCGTACCGCGTTCCACGCGGCGGCGTGTGTTTCCAGAACACCTCCGATTGGATACATTTCGTTTCTTGTGCATTAATAAGACAGGTAGGAAACGCCAGAAAGTCAAGGTGGAGTGGTTTAGAGGTTAGCGCACCCGACCGGACATTGGGAGGCCCGGAGTTCAAATCCTGGCTCCGCCGTTATTTTGGCTTTCGGCGGGTTCCTGAAAAGCTTTGATTCTTATATATATATATATATATAAAGTCAGCGCAGCGCCATGCACAGCGCTGACTTTGCGCTAAGCGCGTGCTGACGGGGGCGATCACCAGATTCGTATCGCGCCCACAAAAAGGTTGCTCATGACAGACGAGACTATAAGTAGATGACGACATGTATATATATATATATATCCTTCGTAGTGAAGACAAAGTAAAGGCCGGTTTCCACATCAAGTAGAGCGCTGCGTTGTCCACATGTCGTCATCTACTCATCGTCTCGTATGTCATGAGCCACCTTTTTGTGGGCGCGATACGAATCTGGTGATCGCCCCCGTCAGCACGCGCTTAGCGCAAAGTCAGCGTTGTGCTTAGCGCTGCGATGTGTGTGTGAGCGTGAACTAAAAGGAAGTTAGAAATGTTCTTGAAACACAAAAGACCAAGTTAGAGGTTTTTCTAGTGTATTGTTATCCCGTCAATCTGAATATCACGTTCGTTTTTCACGATAACTTAACTAAACGCGAGAAAGCACGAAAACCCTCCGACCGGTCGTTACGTCACAAGCAGATCTTTCGACCTCCAAGCACGTGTCGCCCGCGTGGACAGCGCGTGCAATTACAAGCTTGCCAGGTATCCCCCCTCGCACTGACACCAGTCGTTAGGTCTTTTTTTTTAACCGTTTTGAATACAACCAAAGTACGCGTACATAGCTTTGATAGGCACTGAAGATTCTGAAAACTTTGTATATGACGTCACGCTCCAAGAAGGAGGGGCTTGAACAGTACTTTAAAACAAAACAAAAAATATTTTCTGCAGACTCCGTGCACCAAATTAAAACTAATCTCGATATTCGTGACCCCGGAGGCCAAATGAAGACGAGTTTTGTGTTTCTTTTTCAAATACAGAACCGCTTCAGTTTCCCTTTAAGGAAGCGAGGGTTGAAACCGGAGGCGACAGAGCAGGAAAGGAATCCATCGATTGTGGATTGTTTCTTTTTCGTCCGACGTATCCGGCTCAAAATACGTATTTTTTAGTATGACTGCGTTTCCGTTTACCGTTCGGCAGCATCAGCTATCCACAGGCACTATTCGATGAAAGAGTTTCCGACTTCTTTAGCGAGACCGGCCAGACTGACTTGCGAGATTCCTCCCCGAGTGTAAATGTGCGACTTACATGATCTCGGGACTTTCAAAAAGAAAGACACATCTGGGATGCTTACCTCAAGCCCCGCTCCCAGTGCGACAAGCAAGCACTGCTTGCCGCATGTTTCTCCCTGCATCAGGATCCTGTCACCTTGGTCATACAAAAGCGCCCTGTAACAGACATGTCCGAAGCGTACATAAGTATGAAGAAAACATGTTTAGAACATGCGTAAGCGTAGATGCTTCTGTCATCAGCGAACATCGTTCCTTCGCTATGATGTTTGAGCAGTGCGATTAATTATATTGCAATAAGCGATAAGAGGAAGACGGAGCAGAGACTTCATAAAACGAATACCCTATTTACTCGATACTAAGCACCCCCTTTTTTCACACCCGCGATGTTTAAAGAGGGGGGGGGGGGGGGGGGGGTGCGCTTAGATTCGGAACATGCCCCGAAAATACGAAATTTGCCCGAGAAATATGAATTTATTATAATCAAAATGAAAGAATAAATGTTCTAAAGGAAATAAATAAAGTAAACACTGGAGAGTAGCTTTCTTGCCATCAGTTTGCACCACGGTCGACTATAGTCGCTACCGCGACCAGTCTTTTGAGGATGATGTAGAGCGCAGACTTCCGACCGTCGGCTTTGATGCACAGCATTACGGTCACCCTTTGCTTCTCACAGCCAGTCGTACGCACTTTTACTTCTCGGGCGCCTATTTTGTTGACGGTGCATGTTCTTGGCATGTCGATGTACACGGGGGTCTCATCGGCATTGCCGATCTGCCCGAGTCCGTAGCAAGATTCGCGACGCAGCTTCATCACATAACGTTGGAAGTTGACAAGCTTGTCCTCGAAGTCCGCCGGTAGCTCCTGGCAGATACTGGTGCGGCGTCTCAACAAGAGACCGTTCCTCTTCATCATCCGCTCCACCCAGTCTTGGCTTGTGCGGAACGCCGCACTCCGAACTGTTCAGCAACGCCCTGATTTCCGTTGTCTTCTGCGTAAGGAATAACCATTCTCTTGAACTTCATCGTGTATGAAGTTCTCTTCGCACTCATGATGGACGACTTCCACAAACCGACGAATAGGCTTAACAGGCTAAACAACCGACTGCAACAAGCGCAAGGAGACCAAACAAACAAAACATCTTCGATAGAGGGTGCGGCAACGAACCCTCTTTCGCAACCTGCACGGATCGGAAAGTGAAAAATGGTAAAGTCCTTGTGTCTGGGAAAAGTGGCGCATTCTCTTTCCTTCTCTTCTAAACACCATCCTTAACCCACCTCTAACTTCCGGTTTGCGACGGAGGCGCCCTCTGGAATTTCCCAAGTGTCTCGACGTCTCGGTCAGCTGAAGCGGTCGAGATGCCGATCGTGTGGACTTTTCTCGTCATATAAGTGTGACAATGACCTCATTGAGAGCCCGCATTCGTACCGGACCGTCCTGAAGCCGCTCTAGATCTGTTCGTCCAACCGTGGATCTCAAAAGTGCTTTGGATAATCGTCCCTACCGAGTTGCATTATCGGTCAGTGTTCTCGTGAGTGTCTTTCCACTCTTCGGCTCCACAGAAATTGCAAGTCGTTTTTAATCATCATATCAAACTGCCAAATTGTAATTATATTCTCGAAGATTTCAGGTGATTCACTACTCCTTTTTAATGTGTTCTTTGCGTTCTCTCAGGGGTGTTTGGTTTACAGGCTTTAAAAGCATTGGGAGGCATGAAGGGCAAAGTTTTGGTTGTATTTTTAACGGGGAAGCAGGGACGCGGTTGGAACCAGCAGCTAACCTAGCATTATTAGGCTTACTGCAGTACTATTCATGATAAAAATCGCTATACGTATCTTTGTGCGTGTGTTGTGTGCAAGCTGTAAAAATTGCGACGCCGGAGACACGCGTATGGAAGCGTCAGACGCTTCCATACGAGGTGCTCAGTGCAGCAACCCTTCAGAGTTTAATAAATAATATTTGCACTAATTGCCTCGCAGGGGCATTTACTAAAAATAAAAACTCCGTTTTTTTTTTTACTTTTTGTATTGTTTTATATTATATTATGTTGTGCGGGAAAGCAGACGCACGGGCTTTTTTTAGAGTGTGACAGCTTGTGCGCCGCATCGTGTTGAAACTTCAAGGAGCCTTCCTTCTCGTTTTTGTGTTTGTGTGGTTGTCCTGTTTTGACCGTGTCGACATATATTTTGGATTACATCTTTGAAGTCAGCTATTATTATGGTAAGTGCACTGCAACCTACTTGTTGGCAACGATTGGCCGTTCTTCTACGCGTATACTCTTCCAGATTATCTATATAATTATGCAGCGTCTATTCTCTCGGCAGCCGGAAAAATAATTTCCCCGAAAGTCTACATTTATAGTCTAGAATTACCTCGGTTCTTGTTTGCTTTGCAATCTTCTGAGTGTATAAAAGCTTGGAGTGCCTCCCAGATTTCACAGATCGCTTGCACGTTTGTACTTGTCTACAGAAGAGGTAATAAACTTCGAGGAGACTTGAAAACAATCATTTGTGTCTGTTTTCCTGTCCTATTGCAAGCACCTACGCGAGCACCTTGGTTCTACGTGTTTCCTCCATGTTATAAATAGGTTTATGAGTTTCGGGACGTCTTAAATAAGTTTAAGATAACCAACCTCCCAGCCGATACCCATTTAGGGCTAGCGCATAATTTGCCAATTCGAATGGCACCTTCAAATGTGTGGTCACGTGCCAGGTCAAAAGGGCACCCGTATCAAACGGGCACCTCTATCAAATGGGCATCCGTATCAAACGGGTACCCTTTCGAACGGGTACCGTGTCAAACGGGTACCCGTATCCCATAATCACGTTTGATCCAAGCGGGTCGACAAGTTTGCCACCCGTTTGATTGATACGGGTCGAACAGTTTGCCACCCATTTGAATTTCAAATGTTTTTTTTTTTTTTTTTCAGTAGGGTTGTCTGTATCTTTTTTGTTAATTTCTTCATACTGAAAGTACTAAAACAGTCAGCCCCATGGTTCCAATAACCACGATTCTCGCTGCTTTTAGACTCTCGGGCCAGCGTCCTAGGGCCGGGTGCAGACTTGGAAACCAGCTCTCGGTTTCAGCACATATTTGAGTGTTTGCGAATTTTACTGTTATACCATTTAATTTAGACCCGAAACTTCTCTAACATTTATACATAATAATTCTAAATTCTACTTCAAATCTAAGAAAATAGTCAACCAATTGCAGGTTGTT